TGTTTCCTTCTTCAACATAATTTAATCTAAATGTAATTTAAAAAGCTGTGTAGTTCACATTCATTTAAAATAAATAGGACATTTCTGTCAGCCTACCCTATTAGTAATGTGGTTGTGGTAATAACATACAGCCACGTTGTACACCAATTACAGGACGCTGTTAGCTTTCGTGTTTTTATTGGTACTAAAGTCCTACACAATTGAAACAAGTCCCTGACCTCTTACAACATCAATAACAGGGGTACTTTGCACTCATACAGCACCTTTCATCTCAGAGTGCTTCTGACACATGAATTTTCATTACATCTACATGCAGGTAGGTGTCTAGGCACACTTCAAAGGCAGGGAAACTGTGCCATGGAAAGGTTACACAACTTGGCACAAAGCCCTGGTGAACAGCTGGGAATGTGAACTCTCCCATTACTTGTTTTGAATGTCCAGACAATAATGCTTACCCCAAAACCAAGCTTCATAAGGCATTAATCAAAATGTTTAACCCCCTACCAAGTTTGCAAATGGCATAGGCAGACAATAAGCTCACTAATTCTTTTTGATACATTATTCATGACTTGTTCTCCTTTTCTGGCAACTTTTTTTTTAAGTTAAAAAAAACCCCAAAAAAACAAAAACAGTCCAAAAGAACCCAATCAAATATAAGAAAAAACAGCAATTACTGTAAAATAATTTGGAATCCCAAACACTTAGCATTTCCTTTATGGCTCATCTGTTGGACCTCAAACACTACAGCATGGGCAATGCATGGCAAGTTCTCTGCAGAGACCATACACCTGAGTGCTCTCTGGAGAAAGAGGCAGCAGGGCTGTGCTTGCTCAGTTTTAGTTTCCAAGGGCCACTGAACACCACGGATGCATACATAAATCATGTTGGCACGCTAAACTGCCCGGCCAACAGCTACTGACAGTGACACAAACTAATGATCCATGGGCTGGCTACATCATAGCTACAAAGTTAAAAAAAAACCCAAACAAAAATACCATACTAGTGTTCCTTCCCATTGATAATTACGGAACTACTGCAGACAGACCTTGAGATCAAACCACTGCTCTCTGCCTGGCCTTTGCCACCCCATGAGCATCAGGGAGAGCTCCCAGCCACACCTGCAAACTGTATTTAGTGCTGCCTAGAGCTGAGTCCGTGCTTCTGACAAAGTTAGTGAATTCATGCCCACCTCAGCTTTCTCCCTTTGTAAAAATGCTGATGCAAATGCACATTTATGTTACAAGTCAGGCCACCAGAATATATGTCAGAAGCTCTGGAACTGTGTTAAAAGGAAAACTGATGTGGGTGGTGACGGATTTTTGAGCCCACGGAGTAGCAACGCTGTTATTTGCTGGTTGAGTTGTTTGAGGTTGTGTTGCTCTCCATCACACAGGAGGCATTTATTTATTTATTTCTAAGAAAGTACATCCAACATTTTTCAAGGGAGACAGAACTTTTAATGCAAAATTCATTTTCCAATGACTGAGCTCTAAATACAACAAGTAATTATTGTGAATCTCAGGGTAAGATGTTGAGAGTTGAAAGCTCCTCTCAAAGGCAGAATAAAAGCGACTATCTCTCTTCTGGTGGTGTTAAACTCTTGGAATGGAAATGCTGTGTTGAGTATATTTGTGTGTGTATATATATATATATTTGTATATTGTGAGTGCAATATATATATATATATTTGTACATTTGTGAGGGCAGCTGGAGAAAAGAAAATACATAGAGGTGTTCACATGAACACACACATTACTGACACACAGGGACACAGATTTGAGTGGAGAAGGAACATTTAGCCAAAATATTTGGGACTATTTTCCTGAAGGCTGTACTTTTAAGAAGAAAGGTATTTAATTTCATAAAAGCCATGTAGCACTGTCAATAAAATGGAAATGAGTTGCAGAAGGAAATCAAGAAAGTAAGTTAGAAATGGTTTATCTCTCTAATATTCTGGTAATTTACTTGGGCCTGCATCAGGACTACTTTTTTAAGTAAAGGAAAAAATACCAGGTATTTGTCTGAGGTGAAGAAATGAGGTCAGCTCACTAGATTGGAGTAACTCTGTAATATAGTCTTGTCCTAAGGCATTGTTGGATTAGAGTCCAGGGTCAACAGGAGGCTCTTCACTGGCTGCAGTGGTTCTGAAAGTGACTTCAGGAGCTGAGCTTATTAGTTCTTAAGCCCTGCGCCAGCATTTTTTACTTCCTATAAACTAAACAGTCTTGCCATGCCAAGCATCTTATTTGGGGCAATGCTGACAGCCTTAACCTATGTTCTGCAAACAATCTTTAGCCTTACTGTAAATTTCCCTTAACCTAGCAAGAAACCTAGATGCAATTGCATAGCAGGGATCTGGTAAATTTCTAGTGATGTTTGCTATTGACTTCAACTACTCAACACCCAGAAAAGCTTCTCAAGGTAATAATAAAAAAAAAAAGTTATTATCTTTGTTTCTCACTTTTCAATCTGAGGTGTCTAATAGTATAAGGTTTTGCTAAGAAGGCTCTGCTTTGAATGCTCTACTTCCAAACACTCTCCTCGCTTGAGGGAGCGAGGTATGAATACCATACATCAAAAGGGTTTATGACCTACAGCATTTCTTACACATCTCTTCTTCCCTGGTCAGGCAAGATCCATTCTCTCTCTAATTTTTTTACAGTCATCTCTTACTTCTGACCTGCAGTTCTCCTGTCTCTTTTACAATACTGCCCCAGAGCAAGTAATATTCCTTCATACAAATTTTCCTTCCCTTATCATTCTTAGAAATCTGTGTTATCTGCAGTATACATTCAAAGGAGGGGGTACTGCAGCCTTTGCAGAGCTATCTGTTGGCACACCCATTCTTCTATGTTGCTTCCATTCATCCCTCACATTAAAATTTTCTCATGTTTTGGAAATGTAAAGCAGAAATGTGACTGGCTCAGCAATGTACGTTCAGTCTCTCAAGTCCAACAGTAATGTCATACAAGTGCAAAAAGTAACTTCATATATTACATAGAGGAAAATAAAATCACTGTCCTTTTGTCTGTATGAGGAAGCCTTCAGACATGGAGTAGCTTTGTCCCTGCTTCAGTTTCCTGATTTCCATGTAGGTAAGGCTGGTAAAAAACTATCTTTCCAGTTTCTAGTCCTGAAATAAGCTAGAGTTCTAGAAGGCTGGATTTCTCCCTATTCAATTAAATATCTCCCCAGGCAGCCATCTGAGACGAGGGATAAACCCAACTCTCCTGAAAACTCAATCCTATGACTTGGCTATCAAACAAAACACATTTTCTAAGATATTTTTGTCCCTAACACTGTCAAAGTTGTTAAAGTGTTTACATGTATCATTCACAGATTCACATCCCTCCTGTGTCACTGGTACCCAGCCAGACAGAAGAACCCTCGCTTATAAAATCACTTGCAAATTTTGAAATCCTGGTTCAGAGCACACTGAAGCCATGGGGATGTTTTTTTATAGGCTGACATTTACCTTGAATTGAGCTGACCTTGTACGAAGCAAACTGTATGAATGCACCTGTCATACTCAGTTTGCATGGTTTTCAATTTAACTTCTACTATATGTTATTAACATGGCATAGTTATTAGCATTTAAATCTCCTTTTCCTTTGTCATTTCTATATTTAGATTTGCCTTCCCTCTCCCACCCCTCAGTATGCTTAAAGAAGACTGACTTAGTAGGAAAGCACATAGTTGTTAGACAAGGATGGAATTGCATTTTTCAGTATTACGGTTTATTTAAAGGACTAGGACTCAAAATGCGATTCACACAGCCATGACAAACATATGATTAATGTTAGCTATTTTTTCCCACTGTAGTATTTTTCCTTTCACTTTCTTCTTTACAAATGCTTGAAAGTACCAACTAATTTTTTTATATCTTTGCTCAAGAAGCACAGGAGCAAGTGTCTGCTCTTCTTAGCCAAACTGAGTGACTTAGGACAAGGATAAAGCTATTTGGGGTGCAATACTTAGGGCGGCTGCCTAGCTTAACAATTGCAAGTAAGTAGTAGTGTATGCCATCCTACAAAAAATGTAATGATAGGTCCCATATAGTGCAGCCTAACACAAGACAGGGCCTGGATTGTCATAAATACCAAAACGTGAGAGCAGAGATTCCCCCCACACCCCAGTGCAGGGGCAAACGAGCATTAGCTTGGGCAGGGGAGTGGGTACATCAAGCCTTGAACATGTTCTCGGTGCAAACGCAGCAAGCGGGGATTGGGAGGGCGAAACGGGGTGGCGGCACGTCAGTGAGACAGGCTGACAGAGGGCTCGGATACACCGGGCTATCTTCTCGGTGCCCGTGCCAGGGGACAGCCTTAGGTCACCAGCACCGCTGGAGAACTGCAGCAGTGCCGAGGCGCCCAGAGCACCGGCGGGGGCGCAGCCGGAGGTTCCCCTGCCCGCAGGGTGCGGAGCGGCTCCCGGGGGCTGCCGCGCTCCTCCCGCCCTGCCGCGGCGGGGGCTCGGGGCCGAACCGCTGCGGCAGCGGCAGCGCCGCGGGGCGGAGGGGCCGCGGCTGCGCTCCGGCAGCGGGCGGCGGCAGCCGGGCCGCCCGCCCCGCTCCGCTCCGCTCCGCTCCAGCCGCGCTGCACTGCGCTAGGGGCTGCTGCACCTGAGCGCCCGTGTCAGCGCGGGGATAAAGCACTGCCAGCCCCCGGCCAGCGCATTATGTAATTTCAGATTATATAATCCTGAAAGGAGAGAGGGAAAAATTCCTGAAAACAACCCAAACCCTGCCATCATTCCCCGGGCATCTCCTGGGGGTGGGGGCAGCCCGTGGGCTCGGGCGGCCGCCGGGGCAGGCACGCCGGCACAGGGGCCGCAGTCCCCGCCCGGAGCGATGAGCCAGGGCAGGACGGCTCGGCTCGGCACGGCTCGGCTCGGCTCTCCGTCCCTTGCCTTCCCGGCGGAGGCACCGACAGCGCCAGCCCGGCGCTGCGCAAGGGCGGGCGGGAGGGAGAGGGTTGCTCCCCTGAGAGGCGCTGCCTTACCTGCTCCCCGAAGTCGATGGCGATGTTGGTGATGCCGAGAGGGACCAGGAACCGGATCAGGGGCCAGTAGTTAGTGAGCGCTGGAAATTTCACCATAGTCCCAGCTGCGCGGTGACCCGCGGCGCATCTGCCGCGGCAGGAGCCGGCGCGGGAGGACGGCGGGGGGAAGGATGAAAGGGCACCGGGGAGGGTGCGTGCGTGTCCCTGTGCGTGTGTGCGGGCGGGGAGGGGGTGGGGGGAGATAAGGGAGAGGGAGAGGAGCAGCAGAGCCCCCTAAAAATAAAGAGCCGGGGAGCGGGCGGGGGGCCGGTCCGGTCCCTCCCTGCCCGGCGCGGCGCTGGCTGGGCGGCGGGGCGCGCTGTGCTGCCGCCTTAGCAGGAGACCCGAGAGATCAAGTCCATCCCCGCCGCCCTCCTCCCACACAACAATGATCCGCCGCCGCTGCCGCCGCCGCCGCCGCTGCCGGAAAAAAAAAGAGGAGGGACACCGCCGCCAGCCGCTCGTGCGGGCAGCGCTGCCATCCTCGGGGCGCGGGGGCCAGGGGAAGGGCCGGGCCGGCCCCCCCGCCTGACGCTCGTCGGCGGCGGGGCGACGGCCGCGGCGCCGCGCAGGAAAACACCGCCCTCCTTCTCCTCCTCCTCCTCCTCCTCCTCCTGCCCGCCGCCGCTGCGGGGACGGCGCAGGCCGCGGTGCGGCGCGGCAGCCGGCGGCGGTGCCCGTGCGGGGCCCTGCGGGGCCAGCGGCGGTGCGGGGCCGTGCGGGGCCGGCCGCGGGGCCCGGCCGCGGGGCGCCGCTCCGGGCTGCGCGGGCTGGCGGAGCACGTGGGTTTGACACACGCTCGCAGACGGGCGGCGGGGGAAAGAGCGGCACCGAGTGGCTCCTCCCGACGGCGGAGCGGCCGCGCTGCGCCCCCCGCCCGCCGCCGTGGCGGGGCCGGGCCGGGCTCGGCACCTGTCCGCGCTCCCTCACCCGCCGGGTCCCGGTGGGCGCCCTGGGTTTCCCCATCCGCAGCCCGCCGCCCTCATCGCGCAGCCGGGGCACGGGAAGGCGTTCCCGGGCTGTGGACTTCGGGCCTCGGGCAGCGGCACTCGTGCAGCTGCAGGAGGGGTGGGAGTCCTCAACACGGCGTCTGACCCTGAGCTCTTCTGGTCAAAACCCTGGAATAAATAAATCTTGAACGTTTGGCAGTGTAACATCTTCATCTTTACAGACCTCTGCCCGAGCTCTGGGCAAGGGAATGTGCTTGTGGCCCAAGGGAGCTTGCAGGAGGGCCCTCGCTGCCTGGGGCACTGGCTGCCTTCTGAACCTTCTGAAGCCACAAGGTTTTGCCAGTCTAAGGGTGGGAGAAAGAAGAGAAGGCAACCCCCTTCTGATTAACTTGCAGAAGTTTCTCAACGTTTTCAAAATTGCAGGATGGTTTCAAGGTTTCATTGTAACTGAGTTTCGCTGGGTCATTTAGGTTTATGGCGTTATCTTCACCTTGTCCCCTTAAAGGAGAGTTGGCAAATATTTTGGGAAGGTGGGAACCCTACGAGGAGTCAGATAGTTGTATCTGATCCTCAGAGGACCAGTGGCCAGCAGAGGAGTGCTGCAAAGCCTCCCTCTCCCAAAGACAACTGTATTAAAGTGTTCCCATGACCAAGCATATATTTGGAGAGTCAACAGGAGAAGAGCCCTGAAAATCTCTGGTAGGCAAATGACAGGCTGTGGGGTGGGGCTGGAGAAAAGGAGTCCCTGATTCCTGAGGTGTTTTGGCAAAGTCAGCTCCAGTTGGGCTGGAGGCTTTTTCCCTCCTACAGCTGGAGTTTGTATCACCTAGCAGCCCTTGAGCTGGAGCAGCCATTGTTGTGAGGCACAGAAGAGCAAACTCAAATGCTTACAAGAGATCAAACCTGCCTTCATCCTGTAGATCACTTCCAATGCCACAGGGATGGTGTCCTGGAGTGAAGCAGAGAAAACCAGGAGAGGACCATGAACTGAGAAGAGGGAAGCAGAAGGTGTTAGTGAGTGCCTAAGAGTGTGTTTGGTTAACAGCACCAAATCATCATCCTAAGGGAGAGCTAATCATCTCCAGATGGAGCAGTGGTTCATCCATCGGACATCTGACCTGTGTCCAGTGAGAGGGAACGTTTGTCTTCCAGCCAACCCAACTGAAGCTGGACTTGAAGGAGGAACTCTTAGAGATGCAGAGGCCTTACACCTTCTGCCTTGTTTTACTTGTTTGCTTGCACTGAGCTGAATTCCCTGCCAGTTTAGGCATAGCCTTTATGTACACTTAGATGTAAGTTGCAGGTCCTTTTCTTTGAAGCAGGCCTTGTGCCTTTTGAACTCAAGGCCGGATATATATTGAAGCATTAATTCAATATTACATTCTTTCTCCCTGAAAATGTGTGTGGTTTTAGATAACTGTATTGCCAGTAACTAATTTCTTCCTGTCAGGACTAGATTTTATTGCCATTGAGTTCATTCTTCTCTGCCATGGGTCTTGAGAGCAACTTGTAGATGAAATTATGGAAGAATATTTTTTAAAACTCTGTGTTTTAAAATGCTTTCTTTGCAAAGTGTGCCTCTTGTTTCATTTTGGAGAGATTCTTTATTTAAGGGAAAGAAATCTTTAGTGCTGTTTTTGAGTCAGAGAAAAGTAAAAGGGAATCCCCAAAGCCACTTGTAAATATATGATTTTAAGTTGCCATTTGAAAATTCCAGATGACCTGATGTTTGAGAGCTACCTCCTCTAATTCCTGGCAAAAACAAACCACCCCAAAATTAAAGCTTCTTGAATCAAAACATTTGGACTCTGTGTGTCTCACAGTGCAAACTATAAAGAATTCATAGTGATTATTTGTCCCAAAGTCATGTTCAGTCCTGGAAATACTGAGAAACCCAAGTACTTTATGCAGTATAAGAGAAGTTTATAAATTTGGGGTTTTTTTAATGTGTTCATAAGGTAGTTAATACTTTTTAAATTCCACCAGATAATGAATCATACCCCTTACATCTTTAATTCATTTCCATCTGATTGGTCACTTGAGGGCTGTGGTTAACTTTTTATCTTCCTGTTGCTCAAAGCAGTACAGTTTTATTTTAAGAGTAGTTTTACATTTTACCTCCTCACATGTACTGAAATGTCCTGGGCAAGTGTTAACCTGACTGATGCTTTCTTGAGTTCCATATTTTAAAATCATTAGACCTACTTAATAAACTGTTAGACAGTGTTTTAGGTTTGTCTTTCTGCTTCCCATTCATGTCTTCTATTTCTGTGCTGACTCTAGTTTTTGTGTGCCTCTCTTTCAGCCCAGGTCATATTTGCTCCGTCAATTCATTACAAAAACAAAACTGTGTTTGCAACCGAAGAACAAGGATGGTTTCTCACATCTTGGAGTCAGTAGTTTGCTCAGCTGATGAGCTGAGGAAATAGGTCATTTTAGCTGTATTGGGCAAAAAGCAGTGATTAGTAATCATTTCCTTTCTAACATATTTTCTGTTACACTACATTTCTTACTCATATACCAAACACTGTCTGTTTGTTTAATGGAATAAAAAAGACAGAGAGGACAGCAGGAAATAATTAGCCATAATCTCACTGCTTTTTACAGTAAAGTCATCTGGTCCCAGAGTAACTCAAATGGAGCCATCTCACTGGAGAAGTCCACATGAATAGAGTGCAGTGCTGCAATGTGCTAGAGTGCAGAAATGATGAAAGGTCTCATAAAACTGCCTTGTGCCTGGTAATGAAATGTAATTGCTGGTTAAGCAATGGGGGCAAAGCCTGAAGGTGTCCCCAGTAGCAGAATGAATCAGGACATTACTTTTACTCACGCAGTCAGAAACCCAGCATGCAGATCAGCACATGGGCTTTAATGTGTTAGAGTCCCACTGCTGTCCTGAGCTTAAAGGAGGCCTCTTACCACAAACACATGGTGGGAATCTTGAAAGGACCCTGCTGTGGTAATGCCTTACTTCAGAACCATGCCTCTTTTTTCCTTGTTGAGGCTACTGCTAATTACCTGCCAGAGAAAACTGGTCTTGGGTTTGTTTTTTGAATCACTGCACTTGGGCTTTCCATCTCTAGTTGGCTGTTTAGTTGTCATCCCTTCTTTTTGGAGCTACTGGGTTTCTTTCAAAGCTTTTCTTCTAGATAGGATTTTTTTTTCTTTTTATCTGGTGATTTAAAATCACTCATTCTATAAGAAACTCAAACCAGCAAGTAATAAAATTTGTCAGCCAGTCATCCCATAAGAGGACAGATGAGCTGGATTTCCCAGCCTGGAGAATGGCCAGTGATTCTGGTCCCTGAATGGCCTTGGCCTCAGAGAGAGCAAATGATGACTGTCTTTTCCTGTCTTTTATCAGATAAAGTGGAAGGACACCTCCACAGTCATATTCTGCTTCTGTCCTGAGTTATTCCTCTCCCAACAACAGCTGCCCCTTCCACATTTAAGTTGGAACTGAGTGTGATGCACATTTCCAGCTCTTTACACCACAGTAGTTAAAACAATAAGATACTTAAAATTTAAAATTTATGTCATTTAAAAATGTTGTCAAACTATGACTGGATATTATTGAAGGAATGCTCAGAATGCGAGTCTTGTGCACAAAATGGAAAAATACTCTTTCCCATTTAGTGTTGAGGAATAAAAACAAAGAAATTCTTCTACACGCTAATTTTTCTGGTGGTCTGACCAGACACACAGTTGTAAGGACCCAACTAAAGATCCCCTTCTTTTCCTGGACCTGAGTTCTGCAGAAAGCCTGTTTCTAGTGTTTCTTTTCTTGCAAAGAACAGGACAAAAGAGAGCTAGAGGCACAACACTTTCTCTTACCCAGAGGTCAGCGAAGCCTGAATCACTATAGTCACTGTGAGCTGTGCAGAAGGCCTTTACCTCAAAGGGTTAGTGGAACTCTCCTTGTCTCACTCCTTGTGCATCAATCAGCCTTAGGATCAAGTGGCACTCGGTTCTTGGGTTGTGTGCCTGGCCATGGCTTCTAGGCTGTTGCAGTTCACGACTGGAAAGACTACAGAAATGCTGCAGGCAAAGAATATTTATGTAGCATTTGATTCTGTGAATTGGTAGGGTTGAACTGGAAGATCAGAAAACAGCCAAAGGAATTGGGTTGTCAGTCAGACAAGTGTCTGACTAATACAGTTCTGATTTAGCTGCATCTCTGTGTGAAGAATAAAAATGGTCTTTACAACTAACCTATGCCCCTTCCCTGAGACCAGTCTGCTCTGGATGCAGCTGGTTTGTCAGGTTAGATGATAAGGACGGTGCCCCTGCAGGAAACCCATGTCTTTCTTTTTTGGCTGGCACTAGCACCCTGGCAGCAGCTTCAGGCAAAATTGTTTCCCAGCTGATGAAGCAGAAGAAGTTTCCTATTAATTCTTGGTAGACCAAGATAAAAATGGTATTGGGTTTCAGGGGCACAAGGAGACCTGGGTTTCTCAGACATGCCTGACTTATTTTTCGGATGAGACTGTCTCTGGTCACCTGAGGTGGAGGGCTCATCCAGGACATGCCTTCTGTCACAGGGCACCCATGAATGTTG